GTCCAACAAGCTAAAAGCTGGACCATGCTCGGCACTATTCCTAACGATAAACTCTATAATAAGGAAATTCTATGAATTTATATTTGAAAGTAAATAGTAATATACAACAATATGTCAACCACATTATATCTGCTATATCCAGTACCAACGATGCCTTTCGTCAATATTAGGGCTCATAATGTTAGCTTGGATACGATAGACATTGGAGTAGTTGAGACACTTTTTATATTATCAAATTGTACGAGCAACAACTGTTATGATGTGGACTAGATTAAGTTGGTGAAATCTAATATTTATCAATTTTATTCAGTTATTTACAAATCATAATTGAGGTAAGGATTAATAACACATTATCGATCTATACGATACAGTATATATATATGTTGACGCTATTTTCCCTAATGGATTTCACACTATTAAGATCGATTAATATCCAACATAAAAGCCGAAAATTCTCGTAAAACGCAGGTTCAGGACTTTTAAAGCGTAGAATAAATTGAACACAGGCAGTAATGGAAAAGAAACGAACACAATTGTAGTTCGAAACAGAGAAATGCTTTATTTAATAACAAAGTGTTGTGGCACCTGAACTGAATGGGCTTCTTCTACCCTCGTCTGGCTTCTGTGGTTGATGGCTACAAAACAAAAGATGAAAATCAAGAGCAAGAGACAAATCTGGATCCTGGATTTTGGAGTGAAGGATTTCCCCCAAGGATATCTGGGGTTTCAGGTCCCTCTTCATTCACTCTGTAAAAGTTTATTTAAAGGGAACGATGGAGGGATTTATGAGTGTATTTGATGTAGGAGTAGGGTAAACAAGGATAGTTTACGATAGTAGGTTTAAAAAAAGGAGAGGGAGTACCATGCATGAACAAAGCTGGGATGGAGCTGGAGAGTAAGGTGCAAGAGACAGAGAAGAGGGGAGAGTTGAATTTTGTGGATTCCAGAAGTTTATGATTTTGTATGAGGGCCCTTTTCAAGGCTCTGGGTGATTTTTCTGCCTTCTTTAATTTGGTGTTACCTTCTTGGTGTGTTGAATTTTTCTTAGTTGTAGTTGGTCATCTGTAATGTTTGTGGAACTTAATGATATCCACTCTCCAGGAAGTGGACAGTACTTTTCATAGATAATATCCCTGCTTGCAATTGTCTCTTAGGGTTGTAAGCTGTCCAAGGGGATACTGCTTCAGACTAGAGACAAGAGTATGGAAATACGTGTCTTAAGTACTCTAGTGAAACAAAGAAAGTCAGCCCAAAATTCTATAGGTTACAGACTTCATTCAGTGGTCTACATACATTCTTAACCCAAGTCAAGTGTACAGGTTTTTGTATTGCCTTTTCAGTAAGATACCTTCCAAAAAACATTCATACAGAAATAAACACACTAGTTTGAGACTTAAGAACATAGACTGCAATATGTAGCCTTTACCTGTGTAAGAGAATTAGCATGTGTGCAGTTTGAGACATTCAGCCAACATGGATGCAACTACGTGCAGAAACTTCATGGAAACTTAGAAAAATGTTACATAAATATACCCGAATAAAGATACTTTCTATACTAGGTAAGAAAGAGTGAAATTCATAACTATTGTAGTAATTACAATGTCATAATTTTTTCTTAAGGCAGCATTAAAAAATTGATCAGTATTTAGAACGAAAGAAATATGAAGAGGAATGAACCTAATTTAGAAAGATAATGTTGTAGCTGAAATAGCTACCAATTTCATCCTTCTCTTGCATCTCTTTAGTCAGATACGTTCAAGTAGGTTTTTTGCATGTAATTACAACATGCTTGTAAACCTGATGTCAAAAGGTGGTAAACATGTTAATCCTTTTACTTAGGAAAAGACAACATATAGATGGCAACTGCTAGTAGTTTTTTTTTTGCTTTGATTCTGTATCTATGTCTACTTTCTGGGATGAGGGAGTCATGCCCATTTTATGACATAGGTACTTGAACAAGTTTGTATAATTTGAGGGAATCTGTCCCTTGTATACATGATTTGGAATGGTCAGTGATATGCACAAGTTTGGATTATGGGATACTGCACTTGACTCTGTCTGATTTGAAAGTGCTACATAATTCTTGCTGTCTTTGTCCTGTGAGGAACTGTTTGAAAAGCCTTTCTTCATCCTTGCAACCAAGTAAAGTCACAGTGGAAAGTGAAAATCTGGTGACAAATAGTTATTCATTGTGAATAAATATGTTGTTATACTTGTTCAATCATGTTTCCTTTACTGTCCAACTTTAAAATTACTCTGTACAGTACCTTCCCAGAATCCTTGTTTTATGTATAGTGTTTAACTATGTGGTGGATATTAGTGTATCTGACCAGAGGCTAATGATAAAGTAAAATTTTGGTGGCATGACCAAAGGTTTGTTATCGCAGAGTTTATTTCCATTTGTCTTTCTGGTAACTATACTATTGGTAAATGTTTTATCATGTAAGTGCATTTCTGAGACAGTGTAAAACTTGCAGTAGAGAGGAGAAAGCTACTGTTTAAGTAAGGATTGGATCTGAGAATGTCAGAACTTCAGAGACTTCCTGGGGTGGTCTCTACAGGACATCAAGGTGCTCATTAACAAGCCCAAGCATCAACAAAAAGATTTGTTTGGTACCATTTAGAAGTTGGTGAGTTCAGCAGTTTAGAAGAAGGGTTTTTCAGGCAATCCCTGGGTTTCCCAAGGGGTGGGGTACAAACCTAAGAACCGATACCGATTTGTTTGTACCCTTTAGAAGTCAGTGAGACCAGTGGTTTAGGAGGGGTTACGTGACACACACTGAATCTTATTAATATATATATATATATATGTCACAGTACAACTTTTCAGGCTAATAAAGATCTTTAGTTTGAAGTTTTGAGATGTAGTACAGTAGTTCTGTTTTCTTAATTGAGGTAAAGACATAAATAGGATCCCAAACCAGATATACATGCAATTTCTCACAAAAAAAAAAAGACAGTTAAAAATATGGTTGTCATAATTTTCACTGATGCTGATGAAGAAATATCTTGCCATTAAGGTAACTAAAATGTTTACATGTTATGCAACTTAGTCTTTATACAGTGAAATCACAGTACAATAATTTGTTTATAATACTGTTTTCAAGTATTTTTGAGTTGCAAGTATGTTTGATTTGCACAAAAAAACAATTTCAAAACTTTTGGCAGATATTACTGAATGTTTTATCTCAATATTTATTTCTGAAATATACTTTTCTTTGGACCACTCGTACGTAATTCTGAATTTCTTTGTGAAGCCAAATCTGATTTCACTTGTTTATTCAACTTATGTTTAATTTGTATTAGAAGGCAGGTTGGAGTTGGTCACTGCTTGTAAATTAGTTGGATTAATTTCAGTTACCAGTGTAAGATATCTCTATTGCCTTTTAGCCCCTTTCTTATAGCACCTGCTCACTGTCTCTATGATAACCAGACAATTGTGAAGAACTCGTACGTATGCGAGACAATTGAACTCTGTGACCCATGACTGTTGCCAAGGGCTGGCATGATCATAGGTCCGGTGAAGATTGCTGTGCATGTATTGTTCTATACAAAGCTATGTGAATTGCACATCCACAAATACTTGAAGCAAAATGTTTTCACACCAAAGTGGTGAGTGCATTCACCATGAATAACGTAAGACATCGCATGTGTGCTACATCTATATTCAGGTGACCTTTTCCAAGAAAGTGTTGAGTCATGACACGTAATCTTACACTGCTAGCTGAACTTCTGACCTATCACAGGCTGAGTTAACTTAAAGTTTGCAAACATAACTTGTTAATGGAGCAAATCTTGTGAACTGCCAGAAAATCGTAAGCAGTCATGAGAGGACCACAGTGAAGTGCCCAACAGTGGACGTCAGCCTACTGCATTACAATGTAAACCAACTTCATGGGTGACAGTCAAAAACAAGTCATTGAAGTACATGCATCTTGACCTATTGATGATGTGAGGCAACTACCAGATGAAACAATAGTCAATGTTGGAGAAGATCTTGAAGAACCACTACATCCAAGAAAGGTGTCCAAACACTGGAACAGCACACACCAGTGTCAGAGCCTGCAGTACCATACATATACTGTAAATATCTTCAATCTAATGTTCAACTATATTTTCATTGTTATAATTATTTTTTATTTTATGTTCATTTGTATTTTCTTTAACTTTTATTTTTACTTCTGATATTTAATGTTCAAATTTTGTTTCACAATTTATGTTTAAGTATTTTATTAAGTTTTTGTTTTTATTTGGAATAGTCAGTGACATTCAAAGCTTTGGGTTATGGGATACTACATTTGAATCCTCTGTGTGTTTTGAAAGTGTACATTATAATATTTGGTGTCCTTGTCCTGTGCAGATGTATTTGAAATGTCTCTCTCCACGCCACCTATCAAGTAATGTCACAGCATAAAATGAGAAGCTGGCCAGTTTGAAGAAGAAAAAAGTTGTTTATTGTGAATAAAGATATTGTTTAACTTGTTCGATGGAGTTTCTTTTGCTGTCGTTACTTGAAATTATTCCCTCCAGGACACTTCTGGAATCTGCAGTCTTTCATGTATTTTAACTACATCGTAGATATTGGTGCACCTAGATTTCACAACAAGTGTTTTTATTTGTTTTTGTTTTGCACAGCAACTTTTACCTTGCCACTTCTAAGGTTTTTAAGTCCTATGCCCCTTTTCATTGTACAAAATTATTAAGGTATTCACTAATGCTTATATAGACTAATATTACACAACTTGTTTTAAGGAAAAAAATTACCAACCATACACTCTATAAATACTCAGCACTAGAACTTTATAATGTAAGCATTATTCATACAAATTAAAGGTATATGAACAATCATTCTAGCCCTCCAAGAATCATAAGATTTAAACTGAAATACAAATATTTAAATGTTTTAACCATATCACTCTGTGAAAAACCCACCAGTACTAAAATTGGCAGCTACCTTGTAAGCAAATACAAAGTTTTCCACCAATTAGAACAGCAATGACTTGACTGACAATGTACTTAAAAAAAAGAACACTTGTCTGATTACTATAAACATTAGTCTATAATGTCACTTAGACAAATTTTGCAGCAGAATAAAAACAATAAAACTACTGTCTAGCTTGAAATGCAAAAGCAGTTCTAAAATCTAGATGATTACCAATTTCGGAAAGAACAAACCATCTGACCTCTATGTAATGTTCATCATTGACCTAAGAGGTTATACTGCCTACATTCATATTATCTTATATTAAATAACTAAAACTAGTGTGACTCCTCTATGACCATGAACTCCTATCTTTGAGATATTGTAACATAAAACCAAGTTTGTGGCCTATAACTTGACCATATTTGGCAACAAGTATGTAAACTAAATTACCTGACCTCTGTATCATACTGATTTTTGGGATAATTTTATACACAATATTATATAAAACTTTAAAAAGTAAGAAACCTAAATTACCTGACCTCTGTATCATACTGATTTTAGGGATAACTTTTATCTTTATACACAATATTATTTAAAACTTTACAAAGTAAGAAACCTAAATTACCTGACCTCTGTATCATACTGATTTTAGGGATAACTTTTATCTTTATACACAATATTATTTAAAACTTTACAAAGTATGAAAACTAAATTACCTGACCTCTGTATCATACTGATTTTAGGGATAACTTTTATCTTTATACACAATTAT